GCCCGAGGCTCTCCATGTACGGGAGAGCGCCGCACGTCCGCGGGCTGCGACAGGTACCCACGGCGAAGATGTCGTGTGACGCGAGGCAGGCGAACAGGGTGGGCGAGGTGAAGTAGTTGTCCATTGCGATGAAGACGCCGGAACCGACAAGCCTCCCGCGCAGCGTCTCGCACTCCTCCAGCAGGACGTGAAGCACGTGTCGCGTGGTTTTGCCAAGGGGGCAATCCTCCAAGGGTCTAAGGGAGGGATCACCTTTGAAGCTCCTGTCGATGCTGTTGATCAAGCAGTATCCGTTCCTGTCGGACGCGGCATATTGCTTCATCCCTGTCTCGCGAAGGAACAATAAAAGGGCAAACAAACGAGAGCCGAAAAACACGAAGCATAGGAAGTGAGTGGTGTTATTCCAGTTGGAGGGTTGTGCACGAAGGCGTCATACGAAGCTTCCGCCCGGCGTACGTGTGTACAGCATCACTAACGCACAAAAGGTTCTACAGCAGAACGCATAACACATGCGGCAGATCGCGGACAGACCTTCGAAACGCCAGGGGCTGAGCTCGTCGACGACCTTGCACGTCCTACGACTCGACAGCACCGAACACGTACGATGAAAAAACTGGCCTCGACACCTCCCGATCTGCACTAAGGACCGGGTGCAGACGGATAGGCGGGGTACGCCTCCGTCAACAAAACATGGCGTTGGTTTTGACCAGGGCTAATTCAACGAAAAAACAGGATCTCATGCATGTCTGCAGGGGGCGGCTGTGGGGTCACAGGGGGCGTACTTGAACAAAACGGGTTTTCCTCACCGTGTGTGATGGGTTTCGCCGGGTTGAAGTGAGCGAGTCCTTTCGAAAACGTGCTGACTGTCTTCACCATTTGTTCGTCGTAGCACAACCATGACCCAAGTCAACGTTTTCGGACCACGCGCGGTTAAGGATCTTCTCCAGGTCCCTGCGTTAGCAGCAAGAACGACAAAAAAATGTAAACGACAAGCTCTCCGACGGTTCGCTCGTTCGTATTCGCGGATCCAGCCTATATCTCGAACTTGCGCGAGCATGAAATGCAAGCACCAACATGCTGTGATGATTGTATGGGAGAACATCCTGCACGCATGCCGTTCGCCCGGCTACTCGACAAAAAAAAAGGAAAACACTGCTTAAAGCAGAAACAGAACGGGCGTGTGGAGGGGGTGATCCAGCGTACGATGTCGTTGCCCCCACTACAGCAACAAAACATGACAAAAAAAAAAACGCATGGCAAGCTTGTCTACATCGGATAAATGCATCCGGATAAGTCTGAAGATATATTCACCTGATATGCCACTTCGAGTCGTACTCCGGGTTGTCCTCTCCGGTCGGTAGTTGCCGCGGAGGGGCGTTGGGGTCCGAGCAGTGGAGGAACCGAGAGTACAGCAGCTGGAACAAATCGCGCTGCATGCACTCCCGCACCAAGGGGTAGTTGTCGTGGACCGACTAGCTCCAGTGCTTTCGCATCCATTGTGCGGTGCGCGCATGACGCCTAGCACTTTCTGCAGCGCGCCATGTAGAGCGTGGTATCCACAATCCCCGTCGCCGGGAACTTCATGCACTTGGGCCCCATCTGGGAAGGTGTACGCTCGACGTGACCCGTTCTTTCTTTCACTGCAGTTCACCTTGGGAAGCTCGGTATCCAGATGCATGTGCTCCGCCACCTTACAGCCGAGCACAAGAGCTGGCGGGAAACGTTTCACGTTTCGCCGCGCTCCGAAGCAGAGGGCCTCATCGTCAGAAGAAGAGGCAGCAGCAGCAGCAGCAGCAGCGGCAGCAACAGCAGCAGAGGTGGCAGCAGCCATGGCGCAGAAGGCGAAAAAACGCCAGGAGAAACGCGAAAGGGACCTTCATCACACCAGCGCAGCAGTGGTCTGCCGCGCGTATATGACACGGTCTGCAAATCTTACAGAGGTGGTCTTCGAGAGTGCAACTCCCGCTCTGTGTTTTTTTTGGGGAGAGATTCTGCTTCTTGTGTCCCCGGGTCGCGAACGCGCTCCTCGAGTGCGATCAATTCGCCCTTTTCGAGCCTCTTTTTCAGCGCGAATTTCGAAAAAAAGTTGTGCGACAGGAAGAGGAGCATCACTCTGGCCATCACTCCAGAGGGGGGTAGTCACAAAAGGGTTAAACTCGTGTCAGTTGATAATCCCAAAATCTAGCAAAGACTCTGTCCGTGGTCACAAAAATGCTAGCAAGTACTGCACGTCTGATAAAAAAAAATAATATGTGAGAGACATAACGCCTCGGGCGGGAAGCCATCCCCTGCTGAAACCCCTCGATTTCTTGCGGCGCAACAACTCAAGACCTCGCCTCCCACGGCCGGCTTCATAGGGCGCAGCAGGGCTGGGAGCGTCGATATTCCGGCTGAGATAGGTGAGGTAGCTATCTGTCAACCGTGCAGCCTTTGTTTTACAGTTGGGGCTAGTCCGTAGGGGTAGTTTTTCAGTTTTTTCTCAGGGCGTACCACCGTGGGACAACTCGGAAATCTCCGAGTAAGGGTCGGATCCGCTGCAGTCTCTCCACGAGTCTATCGTGTTGCAACGAAATGTCGCCAACATAATGCACTCAGGTACTGTTGACATCTTTTACAAAAGGTTTGGAGCGATTTGATTCGTCAGAAGATAAACATGTTGAGATCAAAGTTCAATATTGTTGCGCTATGCTGGAATCCGAAACGCAGGTCTGCATACATGCACCGCAGCACAGCAGATTGGGTTGTCTTGAAGTAAACATACACTAGTCTACACATGTCAACTGCTGTGGAAATATCAGAAAGCACGCGGCGGGATACGCTCACTATCTGTCGGAGCAGGGTCCATGGTTTTTCGTGATCAAGAGAGGGTGGACGCGACTTCTCTGGTTGACGTTCGAAACGAACGCATCTTTGTGGATGGTCCGCGGTACTTCGATACTGTACACGAAGTAGACCCCCCCCCTGGTTTGTATTATTTGGATTACTTTCGATACTCCTGAAACGTTTTGAGCAGTATCCTTCCNCCCTGATTTTGACAGGATTATTTGGATTACTTTCGATACTCCTGAAACGTTTTGAGCAGTATCCTTCCAGGTACGAATATAGAAATGATTTTATGGATAAAAATGGAGACACACGCACCTGACTTTGGGATGGGATGCCATGAATGACTGTCTGAGTGTCATGGTATCTATTATCGATACACTACGGATAACGCCGAGTTATCTACTTCCTTTTTGTGCGCGTTACGATTTCAGGGTATCCTTGGCCTAGGACCTTTCCGTAGAGGGAGGATCGAGCCGACGCGCGATGAGACGTAGTAGGAGTAGCGGGCAGCGGGGGGGGAGGAGCGGCGACAAGAGCCATACAGAGCAGACCGTGACAACACCTGCGTCTCCTCGCCCTGAACCAAGACGTGGACGGACATGCAGTCCCGCTGAAGGAAAAGCGACACCAAGGAGGACGCGCCACCCACGTAGTCGCCCCCCACGAACTCCGTCGAATCCTGAGAATGGTAGCAGCGGGCAGCGGGGGGGGGTCTACGGCTACTTGTCAACGGGGAGGCGGCCTGGGCACCGCTTCCCTAGAGGCTACACCCGCAAGTACGCCTGGCGTCGCAGCTAAGCGAGTGGCGGGATCCGGCGCGCGTGGCCGAGATCCGGGAAGCCGTACAGGATCCGTTAGGAAACACAGAAAGAGACGGACCCTGGGGCAGAGGCGGCAAGCCGTCTTTGAGGGGAGGATGGCAGGCGAGGAGTACAGTGAGCAGCAAAAGGAGGCGAGGCAATAGGCTAAGGTCCGCAGAGAGCGAGAGATTGCGGAAGCTGAACGTGAAAAGTTGGAGTCTGGAGGCAAGCGGACAGTTGAATTCCGGCGTCGAAATTGCGGTGGAAAGCTTGGAACAGCTGGCTCTCGCTCCGTCAAGCGGAGTACAGCGCAAAGACAGTCTGATCCTGGAGTTAGGAATACTCAGATCGGAGCTGAGAAAAAAACACGCAGGAAACCTTGTAGGCGTGCGGAGTGCGGTTGGTTCAAAAACAACCCGGGTCTCGAATGCAGCATGTGCCCCTCTGGCGTAGTGCGCGCCGTCAGTGACAAGCTATGCTCCGCATGCCATAGGTCGGAGGGCTTAGCTGGCTTCGCGCACCTCAGAGGGCCACGGCTTGAACGAGCGACACGGTTGTTTTTGGCCGAGTACCAAGAAGGAGAGGGGGGGCTGCCTCTACCTCTATCCCGCTTACATCGCCTTCCGCACTGCCCTGCGAACGGGTAACTTCAACCTGAGGTGCGATGCCCTTCGCCGTATCGCCAAAGTGTTCTACATCACCGGCAAGGACCGTTACCAGTTCCTCGTGGCAGACCACCTTGCTGAGATGGCGATTTTGCCGGAGTCAGATCGAAAGGTTATCGCTGAGCTGTTTTCCGTAGCGCTCGGTCCCGACGTTTTCGCGCGGATTGGGCTAGACGAGAGGCAGGAGGTTGCTAATCGGTTTTACAAGACGATGACCAAGAGAATCGTTTCGAGCTTCATAGAAAAGCTGGCGCCGATTGCTCAACTGCGTGAGGAGGCCCTGATCCAGTTCGAGCGAGAGTACATCGAGCAGGCACAAAAGGCCCGGGACAGGAGCCGGGAGGTGGCGTTAAAACGCGAGCCGGCGGTCAAGGAAGCTCGTGAGGTGTTGCTCAAGAGCCCGGCATTTCAAGGTGATGAAGGTGTGGGAAAAATCATGTCGTTGGACGGCAGGGTGGTCACTCAAAAAGAAGAGGAGGAGCTTGTCAGCGCGCCGACGAAGGCAGTGGAGAAGTTTCAGGAGGTCGTCGCACACTGCGTTTTGAGGGACCCGGAAAAGAAGGGGACGACCAAGAAGAACGTTTTCTCAATCCCGCCCAAGAACACAACGAACCAGTCTACGAAGAGCCAAGGGAGGAAGTCGGGTTTGAAGGATAACATAGCCAACGCCTTCGCTGGGGGGCGTGAGTTCAAGGCACTGTTTTTGAACACCATGGATGCTGCCGACGAACACGGGTCGGTCACGCCGGAGCTTTTGGCTGAACTGGTGTCTCAAGTGGGAGCTCCCCGGCCATACAGCATGCTAAATTCCAAAGGAGGTGAGATTCAGAGATCGAGTGTGGGTCACCCTGTTTAAGTTGTGTGCGTAATGGCGTACTCGTCAGCCAAATACGTTTCTTTTCGTCATCAAATGGAAAAGGCTTAAGGACCAGGTACATCAAATTGTAACATTGGAATACACTGTATCGGCTAGATCTTAGCGCAATTTGAGCGCAGAATCGATGAAGTGCTCCGGGTCTCTGCTCGCGTCCATAACAGAGGGAAATCATCACACAGACTACAAGCGTTCGCTGAAAAAAAAACTAATGATAGATACTGCAGAACAGCCAAGGGATCCAAATAAGATCGGGTCGTCATTCCAAGAATGATTTATTTCGAACGACTCACGCCGTGAAGGTAGACAGACCGCGGGTAACAAAACCCTGACGACCGTCAAATCGATGCATTGATCAACGGTACCCCCCCCCCCCCCCCCCCCCCCCCCCC